AGTATGCACAAGGAAAAGCATTGTTCTGTTTCTCTCTGTAATGAGCACACGTAAGCAGGCCGCGGCTCCAGCGCCAAACGCTCTGCGCTGATGAGAGTTAGCAGAGAGCCAGGCAGGGGGTGCCCCCCTTGCCGCTGCTTTCATCTCTAAAATGAATCATAATTTCTGCATTGGACACGAAGATGGGTTTACAGCTATTAGCCGTCATATTAATAATTTAGAAAATACATACCCAGTCACTTGTGTTCTTTCAATTCCCTACAAACACAGCTGCAACCCACATTAGAAGCGAGGGTGAATGGGTATTTTTCAGATGAGATATTTGGGTTGAATTATTAAGGTAGCCTGTACTACAAAATTACTAATAAACATTGCTTCTGGCTCAATTTAGTCTGAACTCAGTGAACCTAGCCAATGGTGACAAATCAAAAACTCTGAAATGCCCGATGAATGAATCTAACTAATCAAGGAACCCTGTAGGAAGTAGATGCCAGGATTAATGAGCCAGCAGTTTCACCATGCCATGCTGTTATTTCTTCACATAAATGCCCTCAGATGAGATTATCTTTATGTCATGAAAAGGAGAAAAGGAAGGTTATATTCTTTCAACTGACAGGTTAACTACTGTCATTACTAGAAGACACATCTTTGTGGGTTAAGTTTTTCCTTTACCCTAAAAATTAATACGTGAAGTCCACAACACAAATTAAAAACATCTTCATTTTCAACGTAAGCAGTCACTGATGACATCAAACATAAATTGCCTCAAAGTTAGAACTTCCTCTACATTTTCCATTTACATATACCTTGATTTACCCAAATTGCTCTGCATGCTATTCTCTATTCAGTTTCTAACGTCATCTCAAGTAGGCTAAATTCCTATATTCTGTTTCTCCCACCATCAACAAAAGGTAAACTATGTGCAACATCATTACTATGCCATCACTTGCATGCCACATATGATATTCAGTACCGATATTGAAAAATAAAGCTACAAAGATAAAAGTGCGTATTCAAATAAATCAATCATATAGTTACATCATAATAGACTTTGACTTTTTCTAGCTAGCACATGGTGGTGGTATTCAATGCCAAAAAGGACTACTCAGCAAAAAATACAATTCATTAGAGGCAGGACATCTGACATGCTGTACTTATCTACCTTGTTCTCTGACATTATTCATGTTATTGTCTCTATTTCCTTGTGGAATATAATTAGTTATTTTTAAAACTTTAACAGTTTTGAGTCAGAATTGCTGATAAGGAGTAAAAAAGTAATGTGAAGCATGACTCTGTCGTTAGTTTTTTTCCCTCCCTCAAAATGCAGAAATCTCTCAGGCTTGTGATTGAGATTCATATTATCTGCTTTTTATCACTACTAAACTGTCAACCTTAACAATTTAGACCAGGTTGCCTTCCCTTATGCTAATGGCATCTATGACATTAGAATGTTCAGAATTCTTAATACAAAAATCTATTGCCACAGAAACAAATATTATTCCAGAGTCAGGTCAAGTGAAAAACTCTGCACACTTTCATTATAATATTGATAAATAACCATTACATTATGAAATATAAGTATCTTTGAAAGCATCTATCACTTCAGTTGATTTGCAACTTCTCATAGGTGTTCTGAGTTGCCCCATTTTTTTTCAAATGAAAGTCCCATTTCCCTTGCCTTTCAGAAATACAATTTTTAAAGATTCCACTTAGCATCCTTTATTGCATTCCTACATCATAAAGTTATGCTTTATAGCAGCATAAAAATGCTGTAAAATTAGCATCCTTGTAAACAACCTTCCATGCTCAGTGGTGAAACAATGTGTGATTTGTACTGATCTCTTAAATGTGACTTGAGATTACAGTATCCACAAATTCAACATTAGGAAAAAAAAGCACTAAGCCAAGGGAGAATATGACAAAATGCAAAAACAAGGCAAAGTATTTTTCATCTACAGATATTTTAGAAATTTGGTCATCACACTGCTAAATTAAAATCTAAGATGAGTTCTAAAATATAAAACTGTTCCATTTTTACATGAAATCCCACATGAGCCTGTTTTTATCTTCTTTAATATTTCAACATTATATTAAATACCCTTTAGAAATACCCTCTAACATTATATACCCTTTAGAAAATGTAGAACTGAAATATTGTGTGAACCCCTTTAATTAAAATTCCTAAGGTAACATGAACCAATGATTTTTCATTATCATAGAAAACCATGCCTTTTTGTCCTCACGTTCCAGGAGACCCCATTGTGTTCTCTTAGTTGAGTAACAATTACAACAGTGCCCTAAGCTCACACCTAGCCCAACGGTTTTAAATTGTGTTCTAGGACAAGGGTGTTTTTAGGGTTTCCATTCTGTGGCAACTAAATGAGAAATCTTCCCATGGGAAAAGGTGCATTTTAATGCCTATAATGACCGTTAAATTTCAAACCACAAGATTGATTTTGGTTAGTCTTCCAAAGGAAGCCTGCGATACCGATTTGCCTTCAAGTTTAAAAAAAAAAAAAAAAACCCGAAACCTTCCGCCTCATTCTACCGCAAACAAACTGCAGCAATTTTTCACTACCAGTCAGTGTGGGGACGTGCGCTGAACACGTGGCTAAATTTGAGGTTAGCTCAACCCAAGCATGGATCCTCAGCTAACCAGAGCAAACCCAGAGTGAACCAGGGAAGGCCTGAGAGGGCCTGATCCGCAGCCAGGGCGCCCGGACACCCTTCTCCCGATGACGTGCCCCCACCTGGAGCCCCAGGTGTCTGAGGCCTCGCCCGGACCCCCCGACACAGAGGGGACCGGCTGCCTCCTTCGGACGGCCTCGAGGCCTAGGCCCCAGGAGAGGGGCCCCAGGCCTCTCTAGTCCACCGGGTACCTTGGGGCAGACGCCAGAAGGCAGAGCTCCGGAGCTCTCCACGCTTCCGTCACCGTGGTCCTTCCAGACGCAGCCCGACGACGAGGGCTCCCGTCGGCTGCTTTGTCCGGTAGAAACCGTTCACGCGAGAAGCTTTACCAACTCTCGGGCCCTGCGTTAAGTGCGGGCAGCTGCGCCCGGAGGCACATCGTGGGCTCAGAGGCAGGGGTCGACCTGAAGCCTCGCGAGGCCTCGAGCTCGCGTGAGGCGATCGCCGGGCCGCTTCTCACTTCCGGCCTGCGTACCCGGGGACTGCAGGCTAGGCCTGGCGGCGGGGACGCTGTATCCGTGGGTCCTGTAGGGTGCGGTGCCACCTGGGAACTGAACCCAAGCACACCGAAGGGCGGCCGAGTCCCAGACGCGGGGATCCCGCCAACTGGGCACCAACTGAGAACCTCTTAGAAAAGTTCTCTTCCCTTCCCCCCACGAGACCCTTCTGTCATTCAAACTCACACCAAAACCCATCTTTCTCCGTTATCACATACTGAAAATGATTTTATTTTATCCATTTACATTTAACTTGATATAAACTTGTTCGGAAAAGTCAAATAATATGCTTTATATTAGCTCAAACATTTATTAAGAAAACCAAATTCCATAAATAAGCACAGACAGTAAGTTAAAACATATCACAAATTGACCAGTATGTAACAAGAATGCTTTATCTACACAAAACATCCTATTTCACATGTTTGTTCATTCTTCGAAAGCGCTTCTGTTCTCTGGGTTTGGATTTGACCAGCACATGCAGAAAGAGCTGATTGCGTTTCTCTGTACAAAGTTGCAGGGTTGTAGATGCCTGAGTGCACCCTTCGGCAGCCGGCAGGGGCCAGGGCAGAGGCCGAGGGGCACGAGGAACGACAGGACGACCACAAAACAACCTAGGGCACAGAGCAGCGCGAGGAGAGAGAAACGGAGAAAAGGAAGCAAACAAAGCCCAGTCCTGGAGGATCCAGAAAAAATGATGTGGCTTCTGCTTTTACAAAAGGAAAATTTTCTTCCATGTTTCTTTTACTCTTTCTCATAAAGACATTTATCAAAATGGGTAAGATCACCTCTTCATCACATGACTGCTTTAGTCTACTCCAGCCACCCAATCCACTAGACATGTTCCTCCTGAGAAGCCTTCCCTCAATACCCTCACACAGTTGTACTTAGAATAAAAGTAAGATAAAACAAAAACGTTCTCTTGCAAGCCAATACAGGGCTGCATGGATGTGACTGGATGGACAAGGCAAGGAACGGATGGTGGGAGAAGAAAGAAAGGATTTCGGTGCAAGAATACAGGGATAAATCAAATTGTAATCAGGCCCTCAGATGAGGCGGTTGGTAGCAGATGCTTGTCCTCCTTTTAGACAAAAATCCTAACATTGTGCTGTCCCTTGAACACGTCCGTGTGTGACCTAGGTGCACTGTGTATGAGTGTGCGCGCGCGCGTGTGTAGTGTCTGAGAGTGAGCGAGAGTGCGGGTGTGTGTGTGTTTCTGCCCACAAACCAGTCCATTGGTGTCTGATTTCAGATCCTGAGTCTACTCCCTGCTAAGTAAAATGGCGGGAAGGATGCTTTCGGCAGGGCGCGGGAGGGGGACCGGGGGGCGCGGGGCGAGAAGGGACCGGTGGCGAGGCGCGGGGCCAGCGGGCTGCAGGCGTCGTGGAGAAGGTGGGGGTGGGAATGCCGCCAGTCGGGAGGCCAGGCGGAGGGCGCGAGCCGGGGGGCGGCGGGGCGCGGGCAAGCGTGGGCCGGGCGCTCGCGACAGGGCGGAGGGAGGGGCCAGGTGAGGCGGCCGGGCGCGGCGGGGAGGGTGCGGGGAGCGCAGTCAGGCGGGAGGGAGACCCCGCGGGCCGAGGCTTGGGGTGAGCCCGAGACGGTGGAGGACGGAGGGAAGGAAGGGGCGGACGAGACGTGGTGGAGGCCGGGCGGGGAGGGAGCAGGGCCCCGGAGCTGGGGCCGAGGCGGGAGAGCGGGGCAGGGCGCCCGGGCGAGGGCCGGGGCAGGGAGCGGGGGGCCCGGGCGCGCGCCGCCGGGGCCTCGGGGCGGACCGGGGGGCGGTGCCGGGGGCGGAGCGGGCCGGGCGCGGCGGCATTAAGTGAAGCTCATGGAGACTGTGTGCTCTAGCGCCTTGCGGCGGAGGGAGGCGATGCTCGTGCCCCGCCACACGTCGCTGCTGTCCGGGGAGCTGCAGAGTTGGGGCGAGCCGGAGACGTTGCTGGGGCCGGGGAGGGAGGCGGGCACCATGCCGGGGAAGGCGGGCTGGTAGAGGTGGGACTGCAGCCCCGCGCCGTTGGAGCCCGCCAAGCTGTTGGACAGGCCCATGGAGTTGGGCGGCGGCCCGGCCGCCAGGCTGCACTGGGACAGCGACTGCGCCATGGCTTGCTGCCGGCCCAGCGCCGGCGGCAGCGGCAGCTGCGACACGCCCGGCATGGCGGCCGCCGCCCAGCGGGTGTCGTTGGCATGGAAAGAGCACAGGCTGTCGCCCATGGCGGCGGCGGCGGCGGCGGCAGCCGACGGGAACTGGGGCAGGCCTGGCGTGGGCAGCAGCGTGCCCGGCGCGCGAAACACGTTGGTGGTCTTCTTGCGCTTCTTCCACTTAGCGCGCCGGTTCTGGAACCAGACCTGGAGCGGACGGGGGTGGGGAGACACACAGGGCGCTGTTAGCCCGCGGCCCGGCCAGGCGCGTTGGGGGCCCGAGCCCGAGAAACCCGCGGCAGGTCCACCCCCTCGGCCCCAGGCCGAACACGTGCCCTCGGCCCGGCGCGCCCCCACACGCAGCTAGGGATCCTGGTTCTCCACCAGCCCTAGGCAACCGGCGCCCCGGGCCTCCACCGGGCGCCAGCTCCAGGATCCCGAGTGACCGCGCCTGGGAGCACTTCCACACCGTGCGGATGAGACACCGTACGCAGCATTCACCACGCCCCTGCGCGCCCGCACGTTCTGCCAGCCGCTCAGACGCACTGGTCTGCAGGCAGGCGTGTTGTCATCCTGGACCCACAGGTGTACAAATGAAGATAAACATGTGTACCCGTGTGGCCTAATAGCGTGCCTATAACAATGATGGGGTATAGAATTTTCAGAAAGGCTGGAAATTTGGAAATTGATGAAGAGCTGTGGATGACAAAGACGGTTTCAAAATCGAAAGACAAAAGAAAACCCCTAACGCCACGGATGACGGAGCGGAGAGCTTAACATAGTGATCCGTGTGGGAAAGCAAGCGCCACTGAGCTAGTGTAGTTTGGGTCACCACAGTGACTTCTGATTCGGAGCGACTGGTACTACTGCCGCAAGTCCGTGCCTGCTGCTCAAGCCCCTCTAAGGGTACTTTATCTGGGTTGTGCAGGTGTGCCGGAACCTGCTGCTAGAGCCCTAAGCCTCAGCACTTTCAAATCTATTATTTCCAAGAATTTACTGAGGATCCCAAATAACAAACCCTCCAGTTCCCTCAACTCCTCCCCCCAACCCCGCCTCGTTTTATCTATAAATTAAAAGCAAATTTTCTGACCACTACAAACCAAAGGAAGTCAAGTTTAAAGCTCACACTACCTATGAATCAAATTTAATTTTGCTCAGACAAACCCAGATGTCTTTTTAAAAGAGATGTGTTTGATAAAATATACTCCAAATGAAAATAATCTTCCTATTAGTTTTTTCTTAACAGTGGACCCTGGAAGTTCAGATTTTATAAGACAAATTTGCCTGTGAATGTCAAATTCACTACCACAGGGGAAGGAAAGGTTCTTCCCAAAAGATATCAAGTAAACTGCCTGACCAAGAAAACTTCCTCTCACCCCATGTTTAAATTTGATTTTTTTTTAAGCCAGCATGTCTATTTGGCAGGCTTACAGTTCAACATATAGTCAGCTGGAGGTTTACTATGCATAAATATAAATGATGTGGGACACAGCTTAGGTACTGATTGAATTTTCTCATAATTTAATTTGGTCAATGCAACTTGACCACGGTAAGGTCATGTGTTAATCCAAACTATTTAGTGTTTATTCTGCAAACTAAAGTATCACAAGTATGGGAGTACCTGACCCCCTTTCCCAGTAAACCAGTTATACACACCCAAGCCAGTAGAGCTACGCTCTTCATTTACCAATATGAACAGCCCTGCAATCCAGAATTCTCTTCAGCCTTTGGGCTGGCCCTGGCTTTTCTACCATACATGCAACCACCCATCACCCACCACTTTATCTCTTTCTGGTTTCTACCTCGTTTTCCATGTTTTTGCCTACTGTAGTGTCCAGATTGGGTAAAGATGCAGGCTCCTTTCCCTGCTAACGCCCCTTGAGCTGGTGGCGCAGTGGATTAATGAGGCAGCAGGGCCCTAGATAGAGACTGGGATCAATGCGGGGGCAGCAGGCCCAGGATTGAGCTGTTAGCGGAGAGTAACCCACAGGAGCCCAGGAAAACACCTCGAGGAGACGGACTGCCACAGGTCACTTTGCATCATCCATCCAAGGCTGTACCAGGTGGAGCCCTAGACAGGACGGTGTCTGTGAGCAAAATGGTCCCCACACCTCACATTCTGCACCCAGATATATTTCGAAAGGTATCTATAAGTTAAAGACCGGTTCCCAGCACCCTGCAAAAGTCAGCGAATTCTGAAATGTTTGACTGTTTGTGGTGGGCAGGTGTGGAGAGAGGGGAAAGAAACAGAAGAAAGGGGGGAGGAGTTGCCCAGAAGAATCTCAGTAGAAAACATGCCTGCCAGAAAGATTTCTGAATCTCAGGCACAAGCGGAAAAGAACAGCTGTTGAAGAACTAAATACTGTAGAAATAATCGAAAAATTGTGCTCAATTATGTTTGAGGGTTAGTAGTCAAATGATGGCTACAAAATTTTTTATGTTTCATGGCTTACTGGGATTGGGAAAAAAATTCTGCATGGGGTCTGAGCACCTCCGCTCCAAGCTATGATGCATATGTTTTTAAAATGTGAATGTTTCCACTTGAAATCTAGAGCATGACGGATTAAAATGCAGGTAAAACCTAAGGGAGACTTTGAGAAGGCACAGATGACAACTCCAGGAAATATATTAACCGCAGCCACAGCCAACTTTGCACTCAGTCTGAAATGCAGCTCTTCTCAGAAGATGCTTAATACAACAGTGAGAATCTAATGGAGGCTGGAATTTAAAAATCCACTTTCATGATATCTGCTGTTACAGTAATATAGACATACTGTAAATGTATTTTAAAATATATAGCCCATTTAATTCCCCACCTATAAATGGCTCAGAAATAGAGAAAGAGAGGAGAAAGAGAGAATATTACTTTTTTCCCCCCTCGAAGCAAACGCTTTATGAAGATCTCATTGGAATCCAGCAAATGATTAATGTGAAGATTTGGGAGGAAATCTGGGGAGCTGTATTAAAGCCTAGATCTCAGGTTCATTTCGATCAGCCAGCCGTGAACTCTGGGCCGAATTCATTACACTTTAATAGTGCTGGGAGAGGAAGAAAATGCAATTTCTCATTCCATTAGAAAACTAGAAAATACTCTCGGCTTGTCCCCCTATTAAGATGTGGCAGGTGACAGGGCCATTCTGGGGGACACGGTCAATGGAATTACAGCACATTATTTTTGTTCGTATAAAATATTGAAAGGCAAGCCTGACTGTGCAGAAGTTATTTCACTGATTTGGTTTTTATGTAAATAAAATATTGAAAGTTAATTAATCCGTGCTAGAGACTAATGATTATGCTTATTATATTGCATTTGATCGCGTAATTTGCATGATTCTCGCATTGCTGCTTAATAAGCCATTCCAGGTTATAAATAATTCTGAAATTGGTTTCTAATAATGGCATGCTATAAAAGGAATGGTTTTATTACACTAGCCAGAAAAGAGGAGTGATATCAGACATGGAATTGGCCTCCGTGTGAGTAGAGGTGCTTTAATAAATACTTAAAAGGATGATATATGGCAAATGTAGATAAAAATAAGTATATTGGATCATTTAGTCTAGAATCAAAAAGTATCTTTAAAAACATACAATTGCAATAAATTAAATGTTTAGATCATTTTTAATCAGTGCAGTAGCCCACATACTGAAAAGAATGTGTGGCAATCTGTTAACTATAAAGAAAACTATGAAGTACTCATCATATAAGAACATAAACCAATTACTACTTAATTTGAATTTGGTCAAGGAGCAAAGGCACAGTGAATTGTGAAGTAAATATATTTTACATAAATTATTTTTGCATTATATTACATAATGTTAATCATTTTGAAATGTTAATTAAGAAGGTTATGTTGATCTGATTACTTTTTAAACTATGGAACATTATTTTTAAAAATACTGAAATTACCATTCTATTAAATTTTTCCTATCATCAGCATCAAGCTATTATCTTTGGTTGAACATTATGCTAGAACAATTAAAGTACTCTGTCTCCATTCTTCTTGATTATTCTTTTGTGTACTTCTTAAAAATAACTGTTTCCATTACATAGTTTGTGCTTTATTTCATTTATAACTTTTTATATTAAAAGAAACACTGCCATTAACCTTTGGAAGACCTAATAAAGTTTAATCGACCTCGTTTTCTTTTTCCATAAAGTCAGTTGTCCAATTATATTTTATTTGTGATTCTAAGTTCTATTTTAATCCAGACTAATTACTAGGAAGCCTAGGTTAAGCAACAGCATTTTAGTCCTTAAAAATTATTATATGGTCTTTCTCTTGAGTGAAAAAAAAATTTATGGATTTTGAACCGACAGGATTTTAACAAGCCAGTACTCTCATTGACAGTAATGAAAATACTGAAATTGTATATTTCTGTTAAGGTATGAACTCAAGTTCGATTTGAAAGAGGAGCAAGGTTTTTTTAAAAAGCTTAAGAGCTTTAACAATATATATCTGCACAATGCAATTAACATGCCTCTGATGCTTAATTTCAATGGCCCATGGTTCAGGGCTTCCAGAGTTCACTAAAGAAACCACCCAGATTTACACTGAGTAAAAATGTTAATATAGTGTGTTATACTCTTTATTAACTTGACCACCTTAAGTCCCAATGACGTTTATTTGCTGATTGTTTAAAACAGAAGGTTAGACAGTCTTTAAAACGCTGAATGGAGACAGAAAAATTCAACACTGGGATTATGAACACTTTTGACTTTTAGATTAAATATAAAGTAACTGAGACCTTTAAACTTTGATGTTTAAAATTTGTAAAACGCAGATCTTTAAAATTTTTGACAGCAGCTAGAGCTGAGATTGACACCCAGGATAAGGAACAGAAAAGACCCTATCAAGACAGGCTAGGAAGGTTTTCAGCACCCTGGATAGCTCAAGTCTAACCGCCCCTCTTGGAATTTCACCTCCAGCACCTGTCCATAAAATATTTGATATAACGTTTTCATTCTTCTAAAAAGTGGAAAAAATCTGAGATTCATTGGACTTATGCTCTCATACCCTAATTTTCATAAAAGTTACAGGTGTGGTTTGTAAGTTATATATAATTTACAACTTGGAGGGTGGTTAGACTAGAACAAGGGGTCAGTGATGATTTTGTTTACTACTGGTCAGTCTTTTCTGACCTAAATGTCCTTTCTTCAAATCGGGTAGCTACACCAGAAAGCCCTTATCCCCCCACTACCACCCCCCCAACACACACTGCCCAAGTTACTTGACGGGAAACCAGGGAACAGGCTGTGGGGGGATCGCCCCAGCTGCCCCCAGCGCACTGGTAGGCCACCAGATTGAAAACCTTTATAAGCATCGAAGCTAGAGGGTACTTTGCCGGAGAGCGGCCGGAGTGTGATATGCAGGAAAACCTGTAGATCTTTTCTGAAAGGCGCCCACTTCGCCTTATTTTCTCCTTTCTCGTGTTTTCTGTATTGTATGATGCATTCTCCCATTTATCCAGACACTTGACACAAACTCATTAGCGGGTAATGAAATACTTGTCTATAACGGGAGCTGGAGTGGAATTGCCCGCGGGGGTTAGCCGCCTAGGAGACACGGAAGGTGGGAGACCCGGAGATTTCCTTCTCGGGAGGAAGGAAGAGACCTAGCAATCGAATGACGCCGGCTTCGCTTTGGAGGAGTTTCTGCGGAAATGTGGGTTATACTGGCAGGAGATGGGGGCACTGTCTGTCCATCGATGGGGCCAGTTGGCGGGCAGAGGAGCTAACTTCACCCAGGAAAGCTTAGCCCAGGATCCCTGTAAGGGAAGGAAAGACCCTGCTGCCTTCGCCTAATTCCTCCCACCCGCTCCTTGTCGTCTTCCCTGGCGCCCAAGCCCAGCGTACCTGCACTCGGGACTCGGTCAGCCCGATACGAAGGGCCAGCTCCTCGCGCATGAAGATGTCGGGGTAGTGAGTCTTGGCGAAGCTCCTCTCCAGCTCGTTGAGCTGAGCGGGGGTGAAGCGCGTCCGATGGCGCTTCTGCTTCTGTTGGCCCTGCTGCTGACCGGCTTGGCTGGGGTTCGGGCCGCCCTGGGGCCCCGGCTGCTTGTCCGGGTCCTTTGCGCTCACCGCCAGCGAGGCCGGCGTAGAGCCCACTGTGGTGATGTCCTCCCCGGGCAGCAGGGTGGCTCCCTCGACTGGGTCGGAGCTGGGCGCTAGATCCCCCGGGTGGCCCCCGGGGTCAGAGCCACCTACGCCCAGCCTACACTTCACCGCCTCCCGGTGGCCCAGAAGCTCGGCGGCATCTTTCATACCTGAGGAGGCAAGGGGATGGCGGTCACTACTGCCCTGGCCATTCCATGAGGGACGACTGTACGCCCCGCGTGGGCCTTTTCCAGCCCCGTGCTCGGCTCCCTCTGCGCCCACGGTCGCCCTCCGGAGCAGTCTCCCGGGGTGCTCAGCCTGGGGCCCCAGGATCTGGACTGCCAGGTTGCAAGACCGTCTCCCGGCCTTTTCCCTTCTCTCCGCAGCGGGGTCCCTTAGTAAACAACACACGCTTTCGTCTCTCCCACAATGAAACACTCCTAGTCCCGGCAATGAAACGTGCCTCGGAGACCCTTTCTTGAACCGTACCCCCCGGCGTTCTAGGAACTCCGGAGCTTATCCTAGAACCGAGCGGGGGGGTGGGGGGAGGGGGGAAGAAAAGAAAGAAGGAAAATGAAACAGTTTCTCCCTTGCTGCCCCACCTGCGCTTAGGCGGCCTGAGAACTCTACCTCCGACCCTCAGCCGATTCCCTCTCACTTTCGGAAGATGAATAAGTCTCCAAGCTTTCCACCCCCCGAAATCAACCCAAATCAGCTCCGCCTCCCCCTCAAATCAGAGAAATTGTTTGGAAAATGGAGTCACATCCATCACCAAAGATTCCCAAACCGGAAACCCAGAGCCCAGTAACCCAGACAGCTTTCAGAAAACTCAAGTAAAGTCTCTAGACATAACAGTGAATCAAACTTTAGAAATTCAACTTTTCTTTCCGGAGATATAAAAGGCACGTTCCTCTCAGCCATTGATCGGCAATGCCGAGTCCCTTTGCAGGCCGGATGCCTGCGAGGATGAATCTGGCTTTTCTCCTTTCTCAATGAGTACACCTAGTAAATTGCTTCTATTGCAGTGGCTTCTGCTTCAAGACTGAGTTTTACAAATTCAACCATACTTAGACGAGGGGAAGGAAGAGGTATGGGGCGAGAGAAAGAGAGGAAAAAAGAGAGGAAAGAAATCTGAAATTAAGGCAAACAGCAGGGGAAGAGAAGGGAAAAAAAACGCCTCCAAACAAATTATCACGGGGTAGATCGCCCCCTTCAAAAAAAATAAATAACAATAATAAGGGGGAGGGAGGAAGTGAAAAAATAAGAAAAACAAAAAGTAACATCACCCAACTCCTTTGGATCTACATATTCCATAGATTTTTTTTTTAAGACGATGTTAAATTAAATTAAACTTTAATGCAGCACAATTACTTTTAAAGAAATTAGTCCATTTAGGGCACATTAAGGTAAAATAAGGAACAAATTGACAATTTCCTGCCCGGGCTTCTGCTGGCTGCCCGGGCGAGAGGCGCGCACTCACCTAGCCTGGCGTCCAGGAGGTCGGCGTGAGACAGCATCGCGCACCGCTCCAGGGCGAAAGCTGTTCCCCCCCAAATTTTAGCGGCTTTAAGTTATTTAAAATAGATATAAGCTATAAGCTATACGATATAGATATATATAGATCACCTAAATGAAAGAAAATTCGGTTTGTGGTTAAAAAGGGGGCTTCTTGCATTATAATGTCCTTTAGAGAGACGGGGAGGTGCTTAACAGTTGAATGAACCCGTGAGCAGCTCGGCGAGGGGACCAATCAGGAGGGCAGCCTGCAAATGTCAGCGCCCGGAGAGTCCCCCGCTCCGCCCGCCCGCCCGCGCCCGCCCGCGGAGGCGGCGGCGGCAGCCCGGGCCGCTCCAGCCCCGAGCAGCTGCTAGAGCAGCGGCGGCTGCCGCGGCCTCGCTCTGGGCTTCTGGGCCCGACCTACGGTAGTTTTTCCCTGAGACTTTCTCCAGGCACACTTTTCCTTCTGGTCCCGCCCAGCTCGCTCCGAAGGCGCGGCTCTGTGTCTCTGAGCTAGGATCTTCCCGGGGGCAGAGGTAGGGCAGGGGACAGAGCAGGGCATGACCTCTTGGTGACCCGGGAGGAGCCCTGGCCTGCGCGCCGGGCAACAGTGCCAATCCGGAGCACCACAAGGGCACACCGCGCCCAGACTTCGCGGCCGCCCAGCAGGCCTGCGCCTAGTGTCCAGATGCCCTGGCTGGGACCCCGGGCCTACAGAATCCCATCTTCGGGGCATGGCTAGAGCGCTTAACAGTACTCGAATCCCCACCCCACCCCACCCCCCGCTGCTTCCAGGCCCCGAGGTCTGCTTCGTGGACCCGAGCGTGGTGTCTTTCTTGCACTTTGCACCTCCTACGCCCGGCTCCAGCTCCTCAGCCAGCCCACGCTTGCATCCTGGCCCACAACCTGCTCCTTTGGACAAAGTTTCTAAGTTCAGTACCGTTCCCAACTCCACTTTAAGCTGTAAATAAAATTAAATGCTTTTTATTTTCCTCTCGAATATGTTAAACTACTTGAACAATTTAAAGTGCTTTGCACAAGTGAAGCGAACCATTTCTAATGTTCTGATTTTTCAGAGCCAGCCAACAACAAAGTTTAGATTAGTAATATATTTCTAACCAGAGTAATTTTCAAGATCATTAGGCATTTATGTAATTAGTGCCAAATCTATAAGCTTTTATTACTATTATTAGAGTAAAATCAGTATAAATTTGTACTAATTTACTACTGTTTAGACTTGGCTGTCAAGACCAGAGGTTCTTATTGTAAATGATAACTGAGGAAATTAAGTGCAAAATTCTGTACCATTTCTGATCTGCTCCTAAACAATCCGTTTCAATTGTATTTGTAGCAGAACATAATGCCCTTTTAAAGTTATTTGACTTGTATTTTTATTTGCAACACAAGAAAAATGCCCTCTTCCCAGGCACAATGAAAACTGATATTTACTACTCTCAACTTGATTAACATTGATTTTTAATTCGAGAGTGATGCAATTAAGATTATTCATTTAGTGCAAATAAAGCGTCCACAAAAGGGCGGCCCTATGAAGTCTGTTTTAAATAATACCGAGCAAATGGCTTTTTTTGTTCGCCGTCCAATTGACTTACACAAAACATTGGAAATGCTGCCTGAGAGCAGATGCGAGAGGAATTGTGTGTGTGTGTGTGTGTGTGTGTGTGTGTGTGTGTGTGTGCGCGCGCGCGTGTGTGTGTGTGTGCGCGCGCGCGCGCTTGTGTCCTTAGCTATGTGTGTGACAAGGACCGAGCAAGTAGACAAAGGAGGCGGCCAGGCGAACTCTGGAGCAGTTTTGCTTCCTCTTCTCTCCTTCAGCCCATTCCCCTCCTCCCATGCACACACACGTGCGCGCGCGCACACATCCACACCCAAGTGTGAGTGTCGGGCGTCAGCCACCTCGGTTCCTTCCGAGCAGCGGAGATCGCTTCTCCAGAAGCTTGGGGCCGGGCCGAGCTTCCGCGGTCGCCGAAGCTGCTGCCAAAACGGCCTAAACGGGACTGGGGCTGCGGCTTGGCGGAGCCCGAGCGGCGGCGGCGCGATTAGGGGCCGCGAGGGTGTTCGCCTTTTGCCGAAAGTCCTTTCGAGAAGAGCTTTGCTTGAGAGGGGAACACCTAGACCTAAAGCACAGTCCTTCCCATAAAAGCTGCCCCTTCCCCAACGAAACGCCAGATTTAGAAGCCACGGGGCCTGGCGCGCGCTCTAAGAGGGAGGCTAGCGGCCCGGCACCGGGCGGCCAGTCCCGGGACCCGGCTCCGGAACGCGCACCTGGCCGCACATCCCCGGGGACTGGGAGGGGGTTTGTGCCCACCTGGGAGGGACTCGGGGGTGGCCGAGGTCAGGACGCGGGGGCAGAGGTGGGGAGAAACGTCGGAGTCAGGGACGGGGCCTGGCGGAGGCGGCGGCGCCTCGGCAGCCGGCGCCCCCGGGCCCCGCGCCCCGTCTGCGGGAGCGAGGAGAGGCTGCCGCCTGGAGAGGAGGAGACGGCGCGGGGCCTCGCAGGTGTGCACACCCGCGCTCGGGGCGGCGGCCCACTGTCGCCCCACAACAGCCGCGGGCCGGGCAGCTTTCTCCACACGCACACGCTCGTATATTCTGTTTTGTTGCATCTTTCAGGTCGATAAATAAATGTGTAACAGTTAATGTGAAGACACATCAGAGTAATAACAATGGGACGAAATCAGAGGATTATCCATCTCTGTTAGTAACCGCTGAATAACAATGTTGCAGCGTGATTGATAGTCCGCTTCATTTTATGACTTTTCTATTGGTCTTGATTTTTATAGCAGTATAAACAAACTAAATCATTTCTTCCAAGACTTCAGAGCATAAGCATCTAATGGTGGGGGTTGAGGGGAGAGGGGAAAAGGAAAGGCGGGGGAAAAAAAAGAAAGGGAAATCTGAGAGTGGGAGGGGGTGACGGGTGACTAGGTGGGGTGGGGGCGTCGAGTGGCGAGGGAGCAAGCTGGGGCTGGCCGGCGAGTCAGCAGTCGGCTGCCAGCAGGCGTGGCGAGGAAAATGACAATAGTCTGGACGTAAAATGCTCGCCCCCGCTCCCGGTTCCCTCTCTGCAGCTTGTTTCGTTTGGCCAATGTCTGAATCCACCTGGGCAGCTCCTGAGATGTATTTACCGGAGTTTTATTCTCCGTCATCTTCCCACGTTCCTCGGGCAGCCGGGGAAGTGCCGGTCAGGCCCATTGCTATTGATAATTTAAGGCATTTCCCACATGATCATGGGAACTGAAGTCCCTAACAAGGCGAGGCTTTAGCCCAATGGCCCCCAAATCTTCGGAATGACAAGAATGTCTTCAGAAATCACTTCAAAGCAAAGTAAAAGGATTTTCTATGACGGATCCAGTGATTTTTCCTCAATAAATAGGTTTTAGATTGTTACACACACGTAGAAGTGGAACAAAGGGAACTACCAGAAAATATATTGGTTGCCCCTAATAAAATTTATTTAGACAGTTTACTTCTCATAAAAAATAGAGATTGAATTTTGTACAAGAGCCTGCCAAGGGGCGATGCACAGGGAAATCATTTTTTTCTTTCTCTTTTTTTCCCCCTTCTTCTTTTTAACGAAGCACAAAGAGCATTTAAAGGCCAGGGAATCCAATCCAGCTCTCGCTGGGCCATGCGCTCAGACAGAACCAGAGAACTTTGTAGTTTTGAAAGAAGGAGGTTTTCTGGGAGAGATACACACACACACACACACACACACACACACACACACACATATATATATATTTAAGAAAACAAAACCTCGAAGGTTGATTATATAAACTACCAACACAGCAACTACAAAATTGCCTTTCCTTCTGCTTTCCCATCCTGGTCCAGAGCAAGGTTTAGGAATAGTGTGACTGGATAGAGGGGTGGGACGTTATGGGGGATCCAGGCAGCAAGTGCTTTAATGATGGATTTATGCTGATTAGGTTTGTAATTCTGATTTTCTCTCTAATTATATTTCCACGTTCATTGCAAATCCGTTGTAGAGAACTAGAGAGAGAGAATAAAAATATATACCAGATGCTCCTGAAGAATTGGGTAGTGTGCCCAGAGCCTTAATTGCTTTTTCCACTTACAGAAGCCTTGGGTGTTTATTAAATGTAACTTTCGGTTGCTTGGGCTGTTTGTAAACTGCTCTCTTTTTTTTGCAGACAGTGGGCTGAAATATGGCGCGTTATTATTCACATTCCTGCTATTAAATGCTGAATTGTAACATTGTTCCCTTTAATGAGGAGCGCCTCCCTCAATAATTAACGATCTCACATTTTCCTATTTTCTTGCCTGATGAAAAGAATCAATTTTAATTCGTGGTAAATTACAGCCATGCTTTGGGGTATTATTTGCTTACAGAAAACAAATCAAGTGACTTGAACACTCCTGTTTACTTTTCCAGATATGCAATAACCCAAGCGCGATGGCGAGTCAGAGTGCGTTCTACCTTAAAACTTCAAACAGAATAAAAAATGGGGGCAAATACCCGAGGGAAAAAACAGAAGGGTCTCAAGTCCACTGCGCTGGAAAGAAGTTCTCCCACAACTTTCAAATCCCCCAGCCCTCACCCTCAGCACCCACCCTGTCCCGGAAAGGGCTCTGTGGCGCACACTGCGGTCTGGGAGGGCTGGATCTCATCTCGGGCAGTCGATGGGAGGATGGGGTGAGTGGAAGGAAAAGGACCTGGGAGGGCCGCCAAGCGTCTGGGAAGGGGTGACAGGTGCTTCCACACTTCTCTGCATAAAAGAACACTCTCGAGGTCCCCAGCTAAAGAGACCATAGCCAAAAAGGCTTTCAGCACTCCTGTCCGGCCACTGGGAAAGGGCCCTCGGTTTGTCCTCTGGCCGCGACTCTCGGCTCTTCCTCCAGGGGCTAAATGAGCGCCTTCAACCCCTAGCCGAACAGGTCTGGGCCCGGCCCGCAAGTGCATCCTCCAGTCTTTTCTGCGTTGGGAGCGCAGGAACTCCCGGCCGCTTTCAGCCAGGGTTTGTCCCACTGATGTCGTCGCGGAGCTCGTGGACAAAAAAAAAAAAAAAAAAAAAATTCCTTGCTCCAGCCTAGAAGCTAGAAGTCAAAGATCCACACTCTAGACTTTATTTATTATTATTATTTAGGCTCAGGGAGCCGGAGCTGCGCGCGCGTGTACTTGTGCGGGCTTTTGTAGGGGCAGTCTGTGTCCGTTGCCTGCGCACCCGAAATCTCGGGGTTGTGCCGAGGGGGGCGGAGGAGCGAAAACCCGCCGCCAGAGAGTCTGATTTCCTACCCTTCCCAGAAGCCCGTGGCGATACTCGAGCTCAACATATTTTTTTTCCCACCGCAGTTAAGTTTCCCATACATTCGAGTTTGCAAACTACAGCCATGCAGTCCACCTGATGACTCTTCGTGGGCGCTGGAGTGGGTCCCTTGCTTATTGTTTTCAATCTTTGCCTTCCAACAACATCCGCGGTCCTCAACGCAGAAAATTGAGCACAAAACAATGACAGATCAGTACCCGCCCGCCTGACTCCGTATCTCCTCTATCCCGCCTTTAGCCCTGTAATTTTAATGGCCCCAATTAGCCACACGGAATATAATAAGTGACATAGAGATTTTGTTTGTTATGTGTTAAGTTCGCTGCTTTTCTGATTTCTATTTACTCAGGATAAATAATCATATATCAGCTATTCAGTTAGGTGACAAGGCTAGTAATTGGAATAAAAAGAAAAACATCTCATCCTTATCTCTTTCTATAACTAGATATAGCGCTAATAAGACTGCATCAATCTTATCTAGCAAATAAATAAAATAGACAAACAAACAAATTCGCCTCCAACAAGTTAATGCGGTGTATCTGAGTGGAAAGTAGATATTTTCACGCATTCTGGAGATGAGGAGTGACTTTTAATAAAATCACAAGAAAAACAAATGTGATTCTGTAAGCCATTCTTGGCGCCGCCGGCGCCCCCACCTCCGCGCTCGCTCCGCGCCCGGCCCCACCGTCCCAACCTCCTCCTTCCGGAGGAGACCCGAGACCCGCGCCGGAGCCGGGCTTCCCCCGCGAGTGCGCACTTGGGGGGCGGGGAGGGGGGCGATACGATTCTACCGGGAGGGAGCCGTCGTCGAGGAGGATTTCCTCCTTGCAGCTCTCTCCTCTCTGCAGTCCTGCCCTCGCTCCTTTCGCTTCCCTTTTCCCTTCCCTCTCCTCTCCTCTCCTCTCGCGTCTCACTTCCTCCTTCCTCTCTTTCTCGCCTCGCCGCCTCCCCATCCCTTCCTCTCGTCCCCTCCCTGTGCCTCCATTCTGCAGTCCCCTTTCTCAGACTTTTCTCCCCCTTTCTCTCTCTCCCCTTTCTCTCCTCTCCCTCCCTCTCCCCTCCCTCCCCGCTTCCCCGCGGCCCGAGCGCGGCTAATTCCGGGCGTCTATATTCACTCAATTAGAGAAATCTACAGAGAAGATCGATCTTCCATCTGCAGACATGCCAGCTTAACAAATTAGATTCTTGTTTCGTGCAGGTGATTTGGTGACAGTTGGGGAATTAGAAGTAATAAGTTGTTGTGTTTGAGCCCGGGCCCCCGCCCCCCGCCCCCGGCCCTCCCCGCCCGCGGGCCCCCCGGCCGCGCCCGCCGCCCGGGCGCCCCCTCCCCAGCCTCCTCCCCCCCAAAGTCGGTCCGCGCCCGCCGCCGCCGCCGCCGCCGCCGCCGCATCCCCCGCCGTAATTAGTGCTGCTGCCCTCCATGTGGGCTCGATTAAACCGTGATTTAGCCGAAAGAAATATAATTATGGCTGCAAATAAAATAATCAGCATTGAAGAGCGATTTCCTTAATGAGATGGAGCGGTTGCACGTCACGGAGTAAAGGGGTCTCATTAAGAGGTGGTAATGAGGCTTGGGTGGATGGTGCCGTCACAAAATAGCCCGACTCCTCCGCCGGCCCGGCCCGCCCGCCCGAAGCGGCCGCCGCCCCTTGGCCCCGCCGTCCCGGAGGGGCGCCCGGACCGACCCCGCCCGGCCCGCAGGGGGCGCTGCGCCGGCCGCGTGGCCTGCCCCCTCCCCGGGCCCACGCCTCCGTCGGGCAGGCCCGGGCGGGCATGGGCGCCCGCCATCGGCGTCGCGAGCAGGGTTTGCCCCGACGACTCCGAGGACAGCGGTCGCTGGAGGAGCGAGGATCGCTGGAGGAGTCGGAGCGAGGGTCCCCGGGCTGGGCCGGGCGCCGAGGGGCCGTGCACGGAACCTGTGGGCACAGGTGGACGTGACTCCGACCCCACGAGAGCAGCACGCGGGCAGCTGTGTGCCGGGGCAGCGCAGCATCGCCGCGGGCGCGTCTGCACGCGGCAAAGGCCGGGCCTTCACTGGCCTCGAGTCCTGGCGAGCAACGGCCATGGGGGTCTCTGTCTCTCCGCGTCATTGTCCAAACCTTATTAAAGTACTGAAAAAGCAACAACTCTGTTTTGAGCACCTCGTGGGGCGGGGGGGGGGGTCTTGAATAAGTTATTCCAAAGATTTCTTAAATGGGTAGCTCTCACCTTTCCAGTTTATTAGGCTTAGGACAGCCTGTGCATTCCTTCTTTGCATCAAGGTGTGTACACATGCATGTCCCTGGTGTCCAGATGTGGTGATACTTCAGTATTTGTATTTCTAATTAGGTTATTAACCTTCTCCTTGAATCGGTTTTATCATTTGGAACCATTCTCAGTTGGACAAGGAAATACATTATCCACACAAAGTGACTGATGAGGTTGCTGACCAATATTTGCCCAACTCCTACTATGTGCTGGGCATGTCAGTGATGGGTCCTGGGGAGTGAGGGGTGAGCAGAGGGTCAGACCCCTGGCCCGGTGGAGTGTCCAGTCCAGCATGCCCCGCACTGAGTTTTTCAGCCATGGTGGACTGGCCATCAGGCATTTACACCCTGTGAGAGGCAGAGGTGAACCTGAGAAGCAGCTGTTTTAATATGCTCTGACCCTCCCACCTTCTCCATCAATGTTCTTTTTCCACCCAGGAACAGGGGATCCTGAGGAAGAAAGTAATTTTAGGTGTTAAGAGTTAATGTAATACCTTTTATAGAATGTTCCCATTTTAAAAGAGGAATGCAAGGTGAGGCAAATTGCCTGGATAAATGACATCCATGTCTGTCTGGTGGTAGTGGGAGGCTTGAAAGAGGAGAATTAGGGGATAAATCACTACTGTCCAAAATGACTGCTTTCCTAATCAGCCTCGCTTGCTCTGATGGTAACGCCTGTATTTAAAATAATTTTTTCTTAGGGGAGTCACAGATCCCTTTGAGAATCTGATGAAAGCTATACACCTCCTCCCACTAAAATGCATATATATTTGCAAACAACTTTGGGAGATGTTCAGGCCCCCCAGAGCCCCAGCTTGTGAAAGAGTGGTATATGCAAGTGAATCTTTAACATTTGTGATTATGAGGAGAAATAATACAAATATCCAGAGGAGTTCTATCAATCAACCTGAACTTAGGGAGGAGCTGAGTTAAGAATCAAAAATGAATTGCCAAACCAGTAAGTTTCAGGGGGAAAAAAAATTGGTTAGTGGATGCATGCAGCCTGGCAGATTTATAACAAATTCACATTTTCCATCTGACCCAAACATAGGTTGGTATTAATCCAAACCTATATGCAGTGTTTTCAGGTGGTAGAGAATTGTTGGGAAAACTACCTTGTTGGTGGCGACTCTTGTCCCCAGATGCAGGCCCTGGGCATCCAGCACTCTGGCTGGGGCGGGCAGCAGCCTCACACAGTAGTGGGTCATAAACACGCAGACCTTGTCCTGGGTTGTGATACAAGTGAATGTATTAAAATTCACACACTGGGACCACAGGGGGTGAAGGGTGATTAAAAGTCTGTCGTAAGCCCACTAAAGCCCCCAAACCCAGAGCTTAAGTTAATTCTCTTATTCACTCCCCAAAGGCATTTTACACATTAGAGTCTGAAACCAAGCAGCGGGCCTGCCTTCTCTGCCCTCCTGTGCTTCCCCAACACGTTAACATATGGAACCAGAGAGCCTTTCCTGGGTGGAAGATAATGCCTTCCTGGCTGCTTTAGAATAAGGGTTTATTCTCCACCTCTCCCTTAATTTTCAAGAGGTCCCCAGGATACCCATCAGAAGGGATATTGACTTTTCTGTATATACTTTTCATAATCTCCTTTTCACTCTCATGAAGCGACTGCATTAGGGAAACGAGGATGTATTAGGTAGGATACATATCAGGCTGCTGTACCAGCCACCCCAAATTGGAGTAACTTAGACAAGACGGAATTTTATTTCTCTCTCACATTCCAAGGCGGATACAGAGCTCCAAAAGATTGAGAACTCACCCTTCTCTTTGTTGTCCTGCCTTCCTCAACATTTGGCTTCCATCTCATGGGCTAAGATGGCTGCTCCAGGTCCTGCCACCGCCTCTGTATTTCGGACAGCTGGAAAGGGAGATGAAGAAGCAGCTTCACACCCTTACAAAGGGTACGGCTCAGAGATGCACCTGTCCCCTCTCACAATGCACTGACCAAAATCTATGTCAATAGAGAACGAGAAACGTAGTCTTTACCTGAAGTAGTTAAAACATTAAAAAGGAGGTTTTTATGAGTTTCCTGCTCTGGGAAGCACATAATTGCTGTCTTCTACATGGCCTTCACTTGTGACTTGGCCCTCATCCTCACTTTTTTTCTGAATTTGCACTGAAAGGTTGGTGTGTGTTTTGAGGGGGAGGACAGAAGGGAAGTAGAAGCCGAGAGTCCAGTTAGGCATCTAATACAATAACCCAAGGGAGAAACAATGGTTACTCGCTCCAGAATGAGAGCAGCAGGCAAAGTGATAAGTGATTGGAAACTGAAAAATTTCCTTAGGAAGAGCCTAGGGTTTGCTTCTAATATGGGGTACGAGAGGGGAGTCACAATAATGCTATTCATTCATTGGCTGTTCATTCACTCATTCATTTACCAAATTGTTACTGAGCACCAGTTGTAAGCCAAGCACTGGGCTGGACTCTGTGGACACACAGGGGGTGTAGTCATGCCTCGACAGCTGACCAGAAATGATAGACAGCAGAGGAATAAACATGAGCATGAGGTGTAGGATAAAGAACAAGTACCAGAGTAGTGTGAGACACTAACACAGAGGAAAGCAACCTGGCCTAGGAGCCTGGGAGTATTGTCGAAGCTGAGACAAGAAGGGTAGATAGGAATTGGCCAGGAATTTGAGGGTGGGGTGGGGGCAGAAGGTGAAGCGTGTTCCTGTAAAGGAATATTCTCCAAGTCTTAACTCCTTCCATGGCCTCATGTTATCTCCTTGACATAGTGTATGAAACCTTGGGCTGTGCGGTCTGGAAACTTGAACTTACCTCATTTTGCTTCTTACAGAGAAACTGCTTTTTAAAGTTCAATTCAACTTAATTCAACAAACATTTGCAGATCCTGGGCCAGATTTCCAGTCCACAGAAAAAAGCCTCTGGTACCATGTTACTGAAAGAAGATAATAAAAGGGAAGTCATCAAATTTTAGGAAATGCAGAGGCATTCTCCATGAGGTCAGACTAAAACTCAAAGAATATCAACTAGAAAGACATGTGCTGAGCAGTGATGTGATCAAAGTCTATGTAATTCAGAAAGAATTACAGGAGGACAAACATGGATTAGGAGACAACACACAGTCTTCAAGGCAAGTGAAAGGAAGTCCTTTATACAAGGAAATTAAACTTGTGAGATTTGTTACCTCCAAGAGGTAGTAAAAGTACTACCTTTGTTGGGATGAGGCTTCAGCAACTACAACAGAGACAAACAACAATAAAACCAACAGTGGCTTAAACAAGATAGAAGTTCTTTCTCACTTAAAAGTCCAGATGTAAGAAAGCCAAGACTACCCTGTTAGGTCTATGGTGTCAGGGACCCAGTCCCTTCCGTCTTGTTCTGCTTGCGAGGGTGTCCTTTTGTCCATGTTGCTCAGGATGGCTGACAACCATGTCATACTCCAGCCAGCAGGAAGGAAGGAGGAAGAGGAGAGGAACTTTCCTTCTTTAGAAGAACAAGTTGAAGTTATGCAAATTACTTCTACTCAATCCCGTTGACTAGAACTTTGGTCAAATGACCAGACTGCGCTTCTAGGAGCGTGAGAAACAGTGTCTTTATACCGGCCACTTGTGCTGCAGGTAACACTGGGGTTCTGTTATTGAGAGAAAGAGGGAAGAGCAGGTACTGAGAGCCTCTACTAGTCTTGTACTAAAAGGGTTTCTTTTCTTCGCACTTCCCAACGTTAGTGCTGGAAAGAATACTTTCAGCAGTGTGTGCGGTGGTAGGGGTTTTGGAGGGACTTCTTCGGGGTCTTCTGCTTGAGTTGCTGCCATCCCCTCAGGTGGTGCTGCCCCCTTAAATATTCTGCCCCAAGCAAAGACGGACACTGTTCTGTGGGTTTGCTTAGCCAAGACTGAATAGAGCTTTCAAAGAGTTTGCTATAGGTGTCAAAAGAACAAAGAAGAGATAAACAGAAAATACAAGAAATTTGTAAACTTCCCGGTTAAATAGTCCAAGCTACCTATCAACTCTTTCTCACTCTTGTCCCAAAGGTTTAACCTCTGGCCCCGTGGCCACGTTCCTCACTTCCTGGTTTGCAGCTCGACTCTGCCTGAAGGACCCTTTCTTAAACAGCAGCCGCTCACGAACCATCTATGGTGCCGGTCATGCTCGGCCAAGGAGGCGCCCCTGCCCTGGGTCTTGGCTTTGCAAGGCCCCCTTGGGCCCTCTCTGGCCGCTGCCCATCCAGAGCCTGCTCTCCGCCCTCTGACCACCGGTGCTCCAGAATTCCTTGCCCAACTGTCCTGCTCTTGATTCCAGGGCTTGTATGGGCCTCTCCCTGTATTAGCCTGACTGATCCTCTGGCAATATTTAGACACATAGAACTTGCTCACCTGGACATGCTCCAGATCCTGCACGTTAGCGGTGAGCCTGTCAGGCCACCTGTGTTGTCATTTTAAAGACATGCTGTAGCAGATTCCTTCCCTGTAGCTCATGCTTCTACTTTGCAGCCTCTGACCAGTCAGATTAAGAAGGCTAACTCTCACCCCTCAGTGGAAAGGCTGCTACCCAGAGACACCCAGATAAGCATCCTTATTCCTACCTCAGGACCACTGTACTTCGCTTGCTCCTCCTTCCTAAAACACATTTGCCTGCACCTTCACCTAGCCTGGCCTCTCTCTTCATTCACATCTCTGCTCAAATGTTACCCCAACAGAGAGGTCTTCCCTGAATTCCCTTCCCAAATTCCTTTTCCCCTGGAAAACTCCCCCAAAGAGTCAAAATATCCACCATCGATTATCCCTCATCCCTTGCCTCGTTTTATTTTTTTAAGCACAGCATTGATCACTACTTGAAACAG